ACCTTCGGTGACTGACCGAGGCTGTACTCTTCTCATGTTCATGGTTCCAAGCTGCAAATACGCTAGATCGCGTGCACAATTCGATGCCAGCTGCTGTGACAGAACGCTTGAACGCGTAATGCCCGGTATCCTCACCTGCCACCTTCCTGACCATCAACACATAACATGTGATTGAAGCGCAGGCTCCCTGAGAAGTACGTCACGCTCCACCTCCCGCGGCCCATGCTGACCGCCCTTCTCGGAGCTCTGCGGCGAGGTGCAACGTACAACATACGTTATGTACACCGCGACAGGTAGCTCTGTCTTGCTTCACGAAAGGAAAGCTGTGCGCTGACGGCACTTTGCGCCCGAACATCACGGGCAAATCCCAAGTTGGGTCGCTCCCGCTCGCCAACAATGTTCAACATTTCCACTAGTTGGCGAGCGGGAGCGAGCTAACCTAATGGTACGAAGCGCGGAATTTTCCTCATATATATACTAGTGGAAATGTTGAACATTCTTGGCGAGCGGGAGCGACCCAACTCGGGATTTGCCCGAGGATTTGCCCGAGGATTTGCCCGAGGATTTGCCCGAGGATTTGCCCGGGCTGTATAACGTGCCGTCAGCGCACAGCTTTCCTTTCGTGAAGCAAGACAGATCTACCTGTCGCCGTTATATGCTATTGTACATTGGCAGAACGGTGAGCAGTGAGCAGACGGTACGTACCTTATGCTTTGAGTCGTCAGTCCGTGGTCCACCAGCAGCTGGCATGCAGCAGTACGTGCACGAGCAATCCTAGGCGTAGTTGCAGTTGCAGCTTGGTACCATGAAGATTGGGAAAGGTTACAGCCTTGGTCAGTCACAGAAGGTTGCAGCGAATGCCGTCGAATGGAAGAGAGTTCTCTAGCTGGCTAGATCGTCGATCCGCGAGGCACCGTGTGTGAAAATGCGTAAAAATTTAGAAATAGTAAAGAAGCGCGTACAAAGCCTCGGTCAGTCAGGTTGCAGCGCATGCCGTCGAATGGAGGATAGTTCTCTCGCTGGCTAGACCGATCAGCGAGGCACTGTGTGTGAAAATAAAATTTGGAAATTAGTTTCGGATAAAAAGAAGCGCGTACAAAGCCGCGCATGCGCACATACACGACGGACGACGATAAATATATAATTATACAGAAAATGTTCCGCTCGAACGAACGACTAGGTTGGCTCGCTCCCGCTCGCCAATTATATCTACGACCGTACGTCGTCAACATCGGCGCATGTCTCCATGATTACTATGCGCTTCTTTTATCGAAAGGATTTCAAAATTTCACATGCGTGCTGCCTGTGTATGATGTCGTGCATATACATGTGCATATACATGTGCATATAGTCCGGGGAAGATACCCTTCGTCGTCGAAGAGAGTGGGAAAGAGAACATCGTGCCCATGAAACTCCTGAGCAGAGAGGCTCGTTTGTACTGTGTTGCTAAGACTACAAACATACTTCGAATAATTTATGGCAGATTTATTAAATTTTTTAATTCTGGCCTTATGTCAAATTCGTCATTTGTCTCGCGTATATTTCATGACTCATGTTTTTTTCAGCTTATACCTTCGTTGGACATATTTCATGTTGGTCATTTACTCTTACAAAATGAAACATATACTGATCATGTTACAAATGTTGCCCAAATTATTCGTTCTATCCGTTATGTTTTTGGTCCTGTATCGCCATTTGAAGAGCTTCTTTTTAAATTATCATGTTCTTAACTCCTATTTCATCATCTCTCTTTCTTTTGTGCCTTATTATTGGCATGTGATAATAATAATAATAATAATAATAATAATAATTAGCGTCGCTTTCGTGATAAGGAACGCGCAAATTTGTACACGCTGCCTAGCTGTCATATCGATGCGAAATATAGCCAGCCAAACAACTCACTCGTCTCTTTACTGGCATTCGCTGCGCTCTTCGATACCTGGCCGAGGCTGTCTATACCTCCTTCCAATCTTCGTGATTCTAAGGTTCAAGTTGTAGGATGGCTCGTGCAGATAGAGTCATTGTGCGCTCGCTCCCGCTCGCCAAAAATGCCATGCATTCGCCTACTAGTTGGCGAGCGGGAGCGAGCTAACCTAGTGGTACAAACGGCGCGATTTTTCTATAATTTATTTATACGACCGTCCGTACGTCGTCCACGCGCTTCTTTTTATCCGAAAAACATTTAAAATTTTTACACCGTATATTTCTCTCTGTATATACTTAACTCGAGGAAGCCAACCACAGTTTCTGCGATGGATCGGTCTAGAGGAGATGCCCTTCGCCGTAGACGGGAAAGGGAAAGAGAACGTCGTGCCTGTGAGACTTCTGAGCAAAGAGAGGCTCCGTCTTTCTCGACGGCGACTGCGTGATAGGGAACGGGCAAGGCAACGCCTGGCCACGGAAACAGCGGAAGAAAGGGAAGCACGACTAGCGAGAAGTGGTGTACGAGCAAGAGCTACACGTGCTGCGGAATCAGAGGAAAGGCAACAGGCAAGGCTCCAACAGATCCGAAGCTATCAGACAGGCGAATTGCCGCCGAGTCTGCCGAAAAGAGAGAGGGTCGACTACAGTTACTACATGCACATAATCGTTAGATCGCTCCCGCTCGCCAAAAATGCAGTGCATTCACCTACTAGTATATATATATATATCTACGACCGTCGACCGTCGTACGTCGTGTAAGTGCGCATGCGCGTCTTTGTACGCGCTTCCTTTTATCCGAAACTATTTCCAAATTTTTACACATTTTCACACACGGTGCCTAGCCTCGCGATATGCGCCGGTCGATCTAGCCAGCTAGAGAACTCTCCTCCATTCGACGGCATGCGCTGCAACCTTCGGTGACTGGCCGAGGCTGTACCTCTTCCCAATCTTCATGGTTCAAGGTGCAACTTGCAATACGCTAGGATTGCTCGTGCACATACTGCTGCATGCCAGCTGCCTGGTGGACCACGACTGACGAGCTGAAAGCGTAAGGTAGTACCGTCTGCTCACCTGCTCACCGTTCTGCCAATGTATATCAATACGCATGTAACGGCGACAGGTAGCTCTGTCTTGCTTCACGAAAGGAAGCTGTGTGCTGACGGCACGTATGCAGCCCGAACATCACGGGCAAATCCCAAGTTGGGTCGCTCCCGCTCGCCAACAATGTTCAACATTTCCACTAGTATTGGCGAGCGGGAGCCAACCTAGTCGTTCGTTCGAGCGGAGCCGAGCGCTCGTCTTAACAGAATGTAAATTAGTCACGCTTAGGGGATGTCAATTTCCGCCGTGCGCGCAGATTCGTAGGAATTCTGGCTTCGCGCGCAGTCAGTAGAGCGCGCGCACGCGAGCGGCCTCTCAGCTCAGTCGTCGGATCGGCTGGGCAGGCGCGAGGCAAAATATGCCCGTGTGCATTCCTAGTTGGCGAGCGGGCGGGAGCGCGCGAGCCGTTCGTTCGCGTCCGAGCCGACGACCGGTGTCGGTCGTACGTCGTGTAAGTGCGCATGCGCGTCTTTGTACGCGCTTCTTTTTATCCGAAATTATTTCCAAAGTTTTCACACACGTGCCTCGCAGATCGATCTATGGAGAACTCTCCTCCATTCGACGGCATGCGCTGCAATCTTCGGTGACTGACCGAGGCTGTACCTCTTCCCAATCTTCAGCGTTGTTTTGTTGTTCTTTTACTAACAGCGAGAATTCCATATCAACAACAAGAAACAAAAAAACAAAAAAACAAAAAAAAACAAAAAAAAAAAAAGAACAACAAAACAACGCAACTTGCAAATACGCTAGGTTTGCTCGTGCACATACTGCTGCATGCCACTGCCTGGTGGACCACGACTGACGAGCTGAAAGCGTAAGGTAAGTATATACCGTTCTGCTCACCTGCTCACCGTTCTGCCAATGTACAATACGCATGTAACGGCGACAGGTAGATCTGTCTTGCTTCACGAAAGGAAAGCTGTGCGCTGAAGGCACGTTATGCAGCCCGGGCAAATCCCAAGTTGGGTCGCTCCCGCTCGCCAACGATGTCTTCTAGTATACTAGTAGGCGAATGCATGGCATTTTTGGCGAGCGGGAGCGAGCACACAATGACTGTCTCGACGGCAATTCGCCTTGTCTGATAGCTGTTGGAGCCTGAACTGTTGCGTTTCCTCTGATTCCTCAGCTCTTGCTCGTACACGACTTCTCGCTAGTCGTGCTTCCCTTTCTTCCGCTGTTTCCGTGGCCAGGCGTTGCCTTGCTCGTTCCCTATCACGCAGTCGCCGTTGAGAAAGACGAGCCTCTCTTTGCTCAGAAGTCTCACTGGCACGACATTCTCTTTCCCTTTCTCGTCGACGACGAAGGGCAATCTTCTCTAGACCAATCAATCGCCGAATCGAGCTTGCTAGCTAGCTACAGCTATAGGGCAGGGCAGCGGGGCAGCGATTGCAGCGCATGCCGAGGGGAGTTCTCTCGCTGGCTTGATCGATCGGCGCATATCGCGCGGCAGCGTGTGTGAAAAGAAGCGCGTAACGAAGCCGCGCATGCGCACTTACACGACCACAGCTCCTGCCCGCTCGCCAATAACAACCGCGTACGTCGTGTAAGTGCGCATGCGCGGCTTTGTACGCCTTCTTTTTACAAGGTGATGCGCCGATCGATCTAGCTAGCTAGAGAACTCTCCTCTATTCGACGGCATGCGCTGCAACCTTCGGTGACTGACGGAGGCTTGGTTCCAAGGTTCAACTTGCAAATACGCTAGGATTCCTCGTGCACATACTGCTGCATGCCAGCTGCCTGGTGGACCACGACTGACGCGTAAGGTAAGTACCGTTCTGCTCACCTGCTCACCGTTCTGCCAATGTACAATACTCATGTAACGGCGACAGGTAGATCTGTTTTGCTTCACGAAAGGAAAGCTGTGCGCTGACAGCACGTTATGCACCGAACATTGCGGGCAAATCCCAAGTTGGGTCGCTCCGCCCGCTCGCAGTGGCATCGAGCATGCGCGGTTCATGCTCTCGAGGTCGCCACGTGGGCGGAATGGGGAAGATGAAGCGGTGTTCTCGTGGTAGAAAAGCGAGGTGCAGACCCACGGGGCTCTCTTCACTCCTGGAGACAGAGAAAGGAGTGGAGGAGAACATACCTAAAGTGACCATGCCTCTTCTGGAAAAGGTCGACCACTCCTAAAATGATTCTTTCCCTAACAACAGTTGCTTTTGTGGGCACGGTCTGTCCCATTAGTGTACTGATTAGAAAGGTTTCACTGTTTATATATACAAGGAAGTAGAGTGAATTCGGTAAAAGACTCTGGAATTCCGGCAGGTCTCATCTACGGATCTGGCAGAGAGGGAGTGGGCCTGCCGCTCCGTTGCACACCTGCTGTGCGAGACAGACGCCCAGCAGACACTGCTTAATCACCAGGGACTTCCCCACGCATTAACAGCTCTGTTACTGGACCCTGAGTGGAGTGTGAGAGTAGCAGCTGCCGGGGCCCTCAGGTCAGTCTCTCACGGTCCATCTCTTCCCTTCTATCATCTTCTGTGAAGCGACACCAACACATATGTAAACCCTGAGGGATGAACTCCAATTGCTCCACGATAGCTATGGAGAGGCAGGGGTTCGTGTAGAATAGATCATTAACCTTTTGGCACAGTAAGCTTCACGACCCCTGCAAGCTAATGTTACCATATCTTCAGAGACAGGTTGCGATTCTCGTGCGGAATAGTAGCATTCCTCTTCTCCATCGCTGTTGACCACAAAACCTCCATCTCCACGTTCTTCTGTGTCCTCCTTCTCCCACGCTATGTCCTCGGGTCCTCGCTGGACCGAATGTGGTCCACCTCGGCGTTACTCGAGCGTTTTTCCGTCTCTCTCGCTCCTTCTGCGCCCTCCGCGTGCTCGTGACTGGAGCTGGCTGCAGTTGAGACAACTGCCACGACAGCATGCGTCGATACTCTGTCAGTGGCCAGAGGGCCAAGAGACCATTATCTCCACCCTCCTGATCTTCCTGCAGGGCCTCCATAGCTATATAAATATTTTGTGGTCTGAGACACGTGTGGACGTGGTTCGCCAAAAAATGTTTACATTTCCCAAAATATTTGTCCTGTTTCATTCTATGTTGCTAGTGCCATTCTACCTCGCTAGTGCCATTATACTGATGGAGGAATGGTAATCTAGTCCACCACACTTTCTTCTTTCTCTTCTTCTTTCTCTTTTTCATCCTCTTCTTTGTGTTCATCATCCTCGTCTTCCTCTGCTTCCCCTTTCCCCGCCCCACGTTTGAATGGGTTGTACCCCATCTGTAGGTAGCCTGCTATGTGCTCAATGAACTTTGAGATGGTCAAACTAATTTCACTGAAGGTTGGCCGATCCTCAACCGCCATCTCCCAGCACTGTATCATCATATGGTATCTACAAACACACCAAGGGCATCATTCAAGTAGGACAAGGAGTTGATTAGTTAGTGCTCACATGGCCTCACTGCAGGCATCATTGTATGGCTGAGGCATACGGTAGCCTTGCTCCAGACTCTCCATGAGAGTGAGGGGATTCGTACCTGGGTACGGGGCCTTCCCTCCACTGAATATCTCCCACATCGTTACCCCATAGGACCACTGTTGAGATAATATAGAGTCAGACAGTGATTGAAGGATTTTCCCCCAATTAACTACTTTAGCTAATGTGGTCATTTAAAAATAGGAAGCCACACTTGGAAATCACAAGTTCATTTTCAGTGGCTAGATACAATAAGCAATACACGAGGCACGATCACCAAAATATTGGCTGCCAATGGCTATACCAGGTGGAGCCATGTGCTTACCACATCACTTTTCTCAGAGAAGTGTCCGTCACTGAGGCTCTCTGGAGACATCCACTTGATGGGCAGCTTCACCATCTCCCCACTGCTGCTGTCCTGTCTGAAGTAGTTCCTCTCAAACACGTCCTCCGACAGACCAAAGTCTGTGATCTTGATCAGGAAATGTGCATCAATCCTACCAGTAAAAAGCTGAGGTAAAACAGCCGGTATCTTCCATAGTGTGGGGACTCACATGCAGTTCCTGGCGGCCAAGTCCCGATGGACGTACTTGTTAGCTGCCATGTATTCCATCCCACTAGCTATCTGAGAGCATATGACCATCAGCCGCTTACGAACCTCTCCCAGCTGCAGGGAAAACACGCTCTATGAACGGAGTGATTAGGTACTGAGCAAGGAATAACCTCATCTTCATCAGTTTCATCCAAAACAACGATATTATTTCTCTCTCTCTTGAGATACTTCAAAAGGCTACCATTGGCCATATAAGGCATGATGATGTAAGGGGCGGAGCCAGCATCGAGACAGACTCCGATTAGACCCATCACATGAGCATGTTTGAATCGACTCATCTTCAGACTCTCCTCCACAAATTTGTCCACTTCTACCTGGATAAACTCACCTGGCAGGAGGCAGTTAGTTTAAAGTGTTGATGGAAAAAAGAGAATCAACCTTTAAGTGTCTTGACAGCCACCACTCTCTTAGACAGTCCCAGTCTGGCCTTGTATACCACACCAAACTCCCCTGAGTATGTGAGTAAACAGGAATCAAGAAAATGAACATTGACACACCTTCTCCAATGCTGTCCAGTAGGGTAATGTCTTCACTCTTGACCAGAAACTTTCCCCTGGCCAGCTCTCTCATGTGATGTGAAGGGACCCTTATCCTAGGCCAAGGTACTTGCAGCAAGCCGGTGTTTGGTTCTGTTGACACTGGTTGGCAATTACGACAGGGGTACTTTATTTACAGGTGTGAGCTGGTATTCCATGTTTACTGTAAGGGTTGTGGCCAGCAATTGATGCACTAGCAGCAGCTCCTTTCTCGTCTGGTTCAATCACCGACACTGAGACTGGAGCATCACGCCCACCTCTGAAGGTCAATAAAAACAAACAGGGATTATAAGTAGACCATCATCGTGGTGCACAGTGCTGTTGGCTAAAACTAACGCTACAAACCCTAAGACTACTTACATAGCTAGTATGTCAAGCTGCATATTCTCCAACTGTTTCCTTCTACGCCTTTTGGAGGACAGTACCATCAGAAGTGAAACCACAATAATCATGGCCACTGCTGCTAGTAGAAATAGGACTACAACTAGAGTCACAATCTCCACCAGTGCTCCTCCATTTTCATGTGGTGAGGAGGGGGGAAGGTGGACAGATCGACCCAGCCCAGCATCAGTGCAGCAGTGTGGAACTGGGAACAGCAACGCGGAAGTATCATTACATTCTATTACAAGGTCTACAGAATCGAATGCCAAGAGAAGAGTGCTCCATGTTGTGTGACATGTCTCCTGTACCATCTGACATTGTTCCTGGCAGATGGAGGAGGGAGGGGCCAGATGGGTGGAGTTGCCACAGGGAGGGAGGTAGAAATGACAGAGAGCTCTGAGCACTCTGCTTCATGCAGTACTCATTCTGATCGGTATCAATGTCTTTGATGTTCTTATTGAGTAGTTGAGCAATGGTGCTCTGATCCCCAAGCCTATAGCTGGCATACACATAGTCAATGCCGGGCCTGACGACATCATCACATACACCAGTTTCCGACTTGTACACTGAGCACTCTCCGTAACTAGATAACAAAGTTTTATGTTGTAATAGAGACAAGCCTAATTAGTCAGGGGCGTAGGTGGGTAGGGGGGCTAGTTTTACACAAAATGAGTTGGGGGCCATGGCAGATGTAACACGAGCAGAATAGTTTTACTGACTGACTACCTTGGGACCTTGGCCTGGTAAAAAATATTAGTGTTGTGTGAAAACAAAGGTGTGTGTGTGGTATGTATAATTATACTTTTGTTGTGAGTAGTTTAACTTTTAGGTCCACACACTCACCTAGCTGGGTAAGTGGAGGTCTCTGCTTGTGCAGCACACTTTGTTTCATCTATAAGACGTGTATATACAAAGTTGTTGGAGGTGATTAGTTATGCTACACAGGGGTATGTATACATTGATGTGGATACATTGTCTCACTTGAGCTTGTCTTGCATGAAATTGCCGCTCTAGCACAGCCACCAGTTGGTGGCCTCCCGTGACTGCACTCATTGAAGTACTGCTCACTGCCACTACAGTTGACTTGCCCAAGAAACACTGGAACATCCCCGGCATTTGCAGGCCCAGGAATATCTGCTGAATCTGAGCAGAGATGTGTCCTGAACTCTTTGGGAGTGGGTTGGACAATTACACACACATACCTTCAGGGTCAAAACCTAGTTGTCTGCACACAACCATGGTATCATTCATGTCCCATCCACGCCTGCAGACTCTCCCCCATACTCTGTCTTTGCAGAACTCTACATGTCCATTGGAAGAGCCAGCACCACCTTGTAGCCTTACTTCTCCATTCTCACAACCTCTGTTTTCATCTGTGATTATAGATGCTCATACATACTCCGAATATAATTACAGTGAAACATCCAAACAAGGGGCACCTTGGGGACATAGAAAGTGTCCTTTATTCAGAGGTATCCCTTATTCTGGGTAATACGATACACTAATGTATCAGTAAACCTTCTACAGAGGTGTCCCTTATTCAGAGGGTCCATTTCACTGTGTACCATAGCAGCTGATGATGATGTCGGTATCAATACTGCCTCTATAACAACGATGGGTTCCAATACTGGCATGAAAGCATTCCAGTAGCTCTGGCTCTGTTCCATTACAGTAGACCTCTCCTATGACTGCAGATCTGTTACTAGTCCCAAATCTGTCCTCATAATCAAGAATGTATGCACCTGCATGGATAGAATTATGGGCAAGAGAGGTCATAACTGGAATACACTCTGATTCTAGTGGTCTTAGTGATGAGAGATTGACAATCTTCATGCCTTACATACCTGTTACCTCCAGTTACCATCAATGGACATGAACACCTCCCTATGAGGTACTAAAATTTTACCCTTTTCAGAGAACCCCAGCTGGCGGCACACCACCCTGGCATTGTCAGGACCCCAGTACTCCAGCTCGTTACAGACTCTACCCCATACTCCATTGGCACAGAACTCCAGTCTTCCCGTGGAATTTGTTACTCCACCCACTAGACGAACTTTGCCATTTTTGCACTCCTTCTCTGCCCCTTTAGACATTATTTTGCTTCCATTTACACCTCTTAAAGTAACATATAACTTACCAAAGCAGTTCTTGGTAACAGAGATATCAGAGCAGCAGCTACCATCTGAAATGCAGTCAGAGCTACAGTTACAGTAGTAAAACTCAAACCCCCAAAAACCATAATAATTCTCCACATTGTCTTGCTGACAGTCTGTCAGACCTTGAGTAGTACAAGGAGCTGCAACACACCAGACAAAAAGATTGAAAATTTCAACAGAAGACAGACAAGGCATACCTATACAGTCAACCCCGGTCACATCCCTGCATTGACTGTCATCCAGCTTAGAGCAGTCACTTAGTGCATTCTGCCCACTCCCACATTGGATGACGGGACTTGTCCCACGACCATAATCAACTAAGGCCAATGCTTTACATAAATGTTAACATAACAAACAGCATCATTTTGCTATAATGGTTTACCGTAACGAGAAGTGTCATAGCCTAAAGTCTGACAGAGAACTCGTGCTTCTTCTCCGGTGGAGTTCCAGTGATCACGACACAAAGAATGCCAGGTTCCATTATGGCAGTAGATTGCCCTGCCTCTGGATACATCATCACTTCCTACCAGATGGACCGTTCCTTCATCACATGTCCCATCTGGAGAAAGTAGAATAAATTAATTTTGCAGTGTTGGGTCAAAACATACTGTTGCATATCACTCCTGCCGTTCCACCATAACAGACACTGACTTTGCGATGACTACACCCACTGAGCCTGGCCTCATTACCAATACAATTTACAGTAACCAAATAATTCTGTAACTTGGCTCTCTGCCTCACTCGTGGATACGAAGCTGGAAGAGAAAAATGGGCCTCATTGTAAAGTGAAACGAGAGAGACTGCACGAAACTCACGTCCATTATACCCCAATTGTCGACAAACTACATTAGACGGCCTGTAGCCCCATCTATCACTGCAGACTGGGGTCCATGCCCCATTCAAACACATCTCCACCTGTCCATCATCTCCTGTTCTCCCACTGACTAGTCGAACATCATTTTCAGTACATTCCCTGTCTGCTTACAAAGTTGGAAAAAGTCAACTTACACTGGAACTTACTAAGAAAACTGAAAACAGGACTCACTGTTACACGTAACTCCAGCTTCTTGGCCTGGAGAACAGTCATGCAGGCCAATTCCCCTGTGTTTACAATCACTCAACATGATTTCGTTTCCTCTGCAGTCAACGTTGTCCAGATGATAGGCTGGTGACACAGTTAAAGTGGTAGTGTGATGCAGTGGAAAAGATGCTGTGGTGTTGTGTGGAAATGGACAATGGATTGACTACAGCATGGACAAAAGAACATACGTCCATCATATCCTAGTTGTCGACACACCACTTGTGCATGTCGGGCATCCCACAGGTAATTACACACTGACCCCCACAACCCACTGAG